ATGAAGAAAAAGAAAAATTTATGTGACATGTTTTTAGTGTGATATTTCGATTTCAATATATTAATAACACAAAAATATTGTCAAATATTGCTAATATAATTGGTCGAAATTTTATGCTTATTTTTTTTTTGTTAATATTGGCAAAACTCTCGTTATATACATGTACATAAATATAATTTTTAATAAAAACAATTTTCTTTACTTTGTTATGCATTTCTTACATGTAAATCGCAAAAATAAAGATGGTATAACATGAGATTTCGAGGAATAATTTAATATTATATTGGAATCTTCGATTTTTTTTTCAAACAAAACAAGAAAAATTAAATTTAAATTCTAATATATGTATTTGTATAATATACTAAATTTATAACTACATAACATTATTAACACGATTATATTTAAATTTTATATAGAAACATAAATTTTCTTTCTTAAATTATAGGAGGAGCTCAATATAATTTACTGAAGCGTAAATATGCTTAAGAATGACTCCTGTTCTTTTTCGTTAACATTGATCGTTTGGTTTGGGGGCAATTAAAATTTAGAAAAATCTATAAAATATCATTAAATTTTAAATAAACATAATGTAATTATAATAAATAAGCTCAAAATAAAAATAATAGTTATTAGTAAATTTAAAAATATTGAACTTAAATAAACTTCAAGCCATTTAGAATTTATTAGTAATTTAAAAATAATTCAAAGAGCATATAGAGTATGTAAATATAAAGGCATGATAATTTTCTTACATAATTATAAAAATTTCAATTTAAGGACATTAAATGCTACAATTATAATTTTGCAATGCATAATTTTTGTCAAAATGCAAAATCAATATTGGTCTTTTTTATGATATTCTATAATTGAAATTATTGACTATTTCAAATCAAATTACAACTTTGAACTGGCTAGATATTTTAATCAAATATATTCAACATTTTATATGAATAAATAATAGTAAATAAATTTAAATGAAATTTTTCATACTAAGTGTAAGTAGCATAAAAAAAAAATTCAAATATAATCTTATAGTAAAAGTTAAAACTTAACTAATTTAACAATTCTAATTTAAATTAACAACTACACTTATATGAACACAAAATTTTAATAGATTTAAACAGAACCTTTACAAAAATTATTCAGAAAGTCTATTAAACTATTATATTTAACCTAAATAATTCAAAAATACATTATATTTCAAATTTAACATTTATGCTTAAAAAACATTGTTTTAAAATATAAATATTATGTATAAGTGAACAAGATAATAGTTATTATTATTAAAGAACCAAAAAGCAAATCATTAAAACTATAAAATTATAATATGAAAAATTAAATTATACAATAATTAGGTACACCTTTACATGAACTTCTTCTTTCTCTTCTCTACATAGCTACATTCATTTTTTTTTCTTATTATTGTCAATTTACTGTTTTTTAACAAAATAATTGCTTAAATTACACTCCTTAAAAAACTTTATTTAGATATTTTGTTTAAGATGGTGTCTTTGTAAAGTCTAGACCAAATTTATTTTTGCGCTTCCAAAATATTCTTATAACAAAGTAAGTAATAAAACCAAAAATATCAAATTAAAATTTAAAATTTAAAAAATATTTTGTTTTTGGTTTTTTTTGGAAAAAAATGTTTTTCTTTTAGTTATACATATTTGCAGCTAATATTTTAATATGTTATGTAAAAAGTTAGTATTAGAATTGAGATCTATAAAAAGAACATTCTAACAAAATTCTAACTTTTTTCAAATAAGTGCATTGAGTATACATACAAACATAAACGTAATTTTTCCAATAAGATTATTAATTTTTTTAATTAGATTCTTTAATGATTGACAAAACTACATAGCTAATCTAATGAAATTTCGACTTTCTTCTAACTTGGGGTGCAGCAAGGTTTAAAATTGGATGACTTGGTTACAGAATGTTTCTCAATTAATAATTTGCGTCAATTCTGATTTGGAAAATTTGTTGTGTTACTTTTTCATCTATCTTTTAATTAAGAAATTCAAAACACATTCATCACAACACATTTCCAATACTGGATTAAGGTTTTTTTGTTGATTTCCGAATACTCTGACATTCTTCAATTTTTTTTTTCAGTTTTAGCATATTTTCATCCAATTATTTAAAAGCATATTATAATAAAATGCTAAAATTGTTACGAAAATTTTTATGTACATCAAAATTAAATCTAAAAATTTTAATGGTTATAAAAAATTTTTTTTTCCTTTTCTTAATTTTTTTAGTTGCATTTTTTTTATACGATTTCTTACTAATAAAATTTATTCTTGTCTTAAAAAATAAAAAATAAGAATAAAAAAATATTTTAAAGAAAATCTTAAAAAAATCTTTTTGCATGTTTTTCTTTTTTTTAATACTTTTAAATATTTGGGAGAGTAAATGTTTTGGATGTTTCCAATATTGCGCCTATATACAAGTTAATAATGAGAAAATTGAAGCATGAACTCCTTACATTTTCTTGATTGGTAAAGGTATATAAAAACAAATATTATTTCTAACTATAATTTGAAAGATTAACGCTCCGAAAACAATTCATTACCAATTACAGAAGGAAAATATTTAAAAAAATTCCTAAATAATTTTTGGATTGAATCAATTTGGATCCTTATTTTATAAATTTATTATTTTACAATTAAGAACCTTATGTAAATACATGTGTGGAAAATTGCGTGATTTAACATATTTCAGTTCATACTATTTTTAATATCAACACTTTCCTATTAAGTTAAACAGGTCTTAAGGCATGCGAAATTGAAGAAGATATAATTATTGTAAATATAATATAAAAATTGTCTAAAGCGAATTACAATCAATGAATTTAAATTACTAGCAGTGGCAAGCCAAAAATATTTTTAATAATGTGGCATGAAAAATAATATGGCTTTAAAATCATCTTCATTCTTTCCACAATTTTTCCTTAAATATTACAAAAATAAGAAAACCAATTGTACAGAGTTGTGGAAGAAAACTGCTTTTTGAGAACATTTGTCATACATTATAAACTATTTTGTACCAACAACGGAAGTATCTCATCTTTTCTTATTTCTTTTTTTTTAATTATTTAATTTGTTTAAAAATTGCCAATACATTGTAAAATACAAAAAGGATTTTAATCGCCAAAATTTGAATTTCTACAATATTGTACAATTAAAATTGTTTTATTCACCTGAAATCGATCGATTAATCTATTAAAATCTTTATGCAATTAAATGTGCACACAACATAAACAGCTCGCGTATACAATAACTGCTCTTAAACTAACAACCATGTTACATTTATTCTGTGTGTCTTACAGATTTTATTGTGTTTATTCTACTATTTCGCAATTACTTTTGGTATTTTCATCTTCCAAAAATTTCATCCAACAGTACAAAATAAAAGTTGAAATAAAAAAATATTTATATAAAATTTATACTCCACAAAAATATTTTAAATATTACAATATTCTTGCAATATATGTGTACACACAAGGAAATACAGGTAAGTTCCCGATAAAAATAACGAGAAATTTTTGTTTTTCATTCTTTAATTTTCCATGAAAATGACAAGTGGGGACGATTATATCAAATATTCGTAAATAATGATGATGTGAAGCTTTTGTTTTCCCTTTTTTTACACATTTAAAGTGACTTACTTACAGACATCAACCTGCACCTAACAAAAAAAAAACTCTGAATAATAAAAGAACTGACTAAAATGTACCTAATATATTAATATCAAATAAACCAACCCATATACCAAATTGAATAACTATAATAGAAAACCGAAAAACAAAAAAAAAAATTAAACTATTGAAGAAGAATATAAGATATTTGCAGCACCACATCTTAAAACCTATCTAAAATTTGCAAGTTAAAAAGCTTTTTTTATAGTTTGCATTTTTCTTATTGAATTTTTTTATATACTGCCACTTCTATAATAATGTATGGCTTTTGATGATACTAGGGTAATCTATCAACAAGCATTTATTACAATTGTAATGATTAAATTACAGGGGGTTCTAAATTCATTATTTTATTAAAAATGATTCTCAATCTTTATTTTTATTTTAATAATTTTTTAAATGAAAATGAACAATTCATTAATAATTGATTGTTCATGAATTTCAATTAATACCAAATTTTATTGAATAGAATTTAATCTTTCAAATTATTTAGAATAACTAAAGAAAATTGCTTAAAAATATTATTTAATATTTTTAAAATTACTACAAAGCTGTCAACGAAAAGCAATGTGCAGTCAGTTTCATGTTCCGTTAGAATAAACTTATTTTATTATTTATTATTTGTTTTTGAAATCTTAAGTGAGCAAAAGCTCGTACAGAGTATTATAATTTAATATTTTAGGATGTTGTTATGTAACATAAAATTTACAAATACCGCTGACTTTCTATTTAGGGGTATGTAACACTCTACACTAATTTGTTTAGGTGAAAGTATAGAGAGCCAAAATACTTCATAAAACATTTGCGTAATACTGCATGTAAGTTAAATAGACGATGTTAGTAAAAAATTTCTTTCAAATGTTATTTTAAAAATTTGAGAATCATTATTATTTATTGCACATAACAAAATCATGCTTTATTATCAATATCATCATTCTCATGTGCAATGTATCACAAACAGAAGTGCAAAAAAATAAAAATAACAATACAAAATTCAATTTGCGAGAGCAACTGCAGTATTCGAGTACAAAATATAGTTGAAAAGTTTAATATAAAAAAATAAAAAGGAAAAAGCAAAATAAAAGAAAATCTCTAAAAATGGGGACCATACAAGATTCACTCTTAAACTACCTTTGACCTATGAATTTTATTGTTGTTGTTTTTTCTTATAAGCTTAGATTTTATTTTACTGTTAAATTTTTTTTTCTTATTTTCTTATTTAATTATTTTTCATTTTTCTTTAATGTTTGCATATAAAAGTCGTCCCCCAATTGAATAATATCACAGTTAGTCAAATAATATTAAACGGTGAATAGTAACTGTTAACTAGTAACAAAAAAAATCAAACAAAAAGTAAAATTGAAAAAAAAAATAATAAAAAATAAATAAACTTTATTTAAAGTGAAAATATTTTGGAACTAAAAAGGATTAAAAAGGATTAAAATAGTTTTAAATCAAAAATTCTTTTAACTCTTAAAGATTTATATAAAAAAATAATTTAATTTTAAGAATTTTAAAATTAATTTAAAAATATTTAAAACAAAAAAAATGTATAAATTAGCATTAATTTTAACCGTTTTGGTATATTTTGTTGCTGGAAGACCACAAGGAGGTGAACAACCCGAACCGGTAATAATAATATGAAAATATAAGGATTAACAAGCAAAATTCATGTGGTTAAAAATATTAACAACATTTTATTCGAATTTATTATTGCTCTTGTTTATTGTTTGAAAATATTAACGAAATGCATATATTAAATTTTGTTAATGGCAAGTAACACAAAGCACAATATTAGCAGTTCTCCGTATGTATTATGACATTATAGTGAGATGAACAAAGAACAATTAGTTTCGATTATAATGCCTGCCTTTCCGAATTCAAAGTAAATGGAATTAATTGAATTTATTTGGAAAAACGGAACAAATTTAAAAAAATTTTAAAAAATTATATAAACTTTAAAGTGATGTTACTTAAATTGAAAAATTTATTAGAAAAAATTATAAAATACTAAGAAAAGGATGCAAGCATAAATATTTTGAAAAACAAATTTCAACCCACCCTTTGATTTTTTTTTCCCCCCAAAATACTTTTTTTTTGCATTAATAATAATTAATATTTCGGTTTATTAATTTTTGTAAAAAAAATAAAACTTGATACGGAAAATATTCGATTTTATTTGCCGATTTTTAAAATTCCTGAAGCACAGATCAATGTAAAAAGTTACGGTAACACCCACACTATTTAATTTTACTATTAACAGCTGGCAGCTTGATTCACAATTAAATCATATTTTACGCATTTCATTGCAATTTTATTTTACTTTTTTATTAATTTGTAGATACCTTTTAGATACGATACGATACAGTGCAAAATAATAATTGATATAGTACTACGCAAGGGCTGATCGTAATTATCTATTATCGTGATTTAAAATATAAAATTGTTACATTATTTTTGCAATAATATTCATTATTAGAAGAATCTAACAAATTTTTTTTTTTTAATTTAACGAGTTTATAATCAATCTAATTAAGTAAATTTCAAACTATCATGTTGTATATTTTTTTAAGTTAAGTAAATTTAAATGAAATTCCTCAATCCAGTTTTTAAAATAAACACTGCCTTTACCAGAAATAATTTAATTTTATATGTATTTAAAATATAAAAATTATTCAAATTGTTCACAATAAATATTTCATACGAATTTCACTGATTTTGATTAAATAATTACGTGTGAAACATTATTTTCTTAACGAATACAAATTTTTATAATATACATATGTTCTGGGAAATAATTTTATTTTCTAAGGTAAAAAATAAGTAACTGAATTGAAAATTTTTAAGACTATAATTAAGCTATCTGTACGTGTACACAGTTGTAGTATATGGCAATTAATTTTTTGTAATTGTAAACAGAAAATCGTGTCGAGCTCATGAAATATGAAAATTTCATTATAGCAAATGACGTAATGACATTCAATTACGAATTAATAAGGGTTTTAAATATAAAGGCATAATTACAATTTAAGTAAAAAATATTTTTGTTAAAAATTTTAAGTATGTAAATACAAATTAGATCTTAGTAACTTATTGAATTTGTTAAGACAATTTCCAATTCTAAATTTTTTAATAAAAAAACACATTTTTACCTGTAAAACTATAAGAATTATCTATATTAATTTTAACAGAGATAAAAATATTAAACAACACCGGGTTGACATTCTCGGAAAAGGCATTAAAAATTTTTCCATAAACAATTTACAATCATTTTTTTTTTAATTCACAATCTTTTCCATTAAAATTTCGTTAATCTAAATTTGACGAGCATGTATTAATTTATAAATAAAACTGAAAATTTACATGTAAATTAAATATATCAAAATTTAAAAAGCGTATTTTTTATTCCTTTTTACAATTTTAGTATGAATATCAATATGAAGTAAAAGATCCAGAAAAAGAATTATTTTTTGATAAAAACGAAATCGGTGATGCAGCCGGCAAGGTTAGTAAATATTAATCTTAAAAATAGTAAAATTTATCATTTTTCGAATTTTTTTAATTTGTAATTACTATAGGTAACAGGAAAATATTCAGTATGGTTACCGGATGGACGTTTGATGACTGTAGAATATAGCGTAAATGGTGAAAGTGGCTATGTACCAAAAGTATCATTTGACACAACAAATCCACTTGGTTAAGAGTAACTCAAATATAATAAAACATTTTACCATCAAAGGACAGTGTACTAGTAAAAACATCAATAATTTAAATAACCAAAACGCTTTTCATGAGAAAAATTGCAATGATAAAGATTGAACATCAAAATCTGTATTTATTTTGAACAAAATTGTTGGTTTTTTTGTAATTAAATAAGCAAAAACATATTAAATATAGTGACATATACATAACACACAAAGAAACACATTAAATTTAAATTAACACGCAAACAAAACACTTTAAACTCTAAATATAATATTTTCAAACATAAGAAAAAAAAACAGAACATTGAAAATTAAAAAAAACAGTTCTCATTATCTTGACATAATTATTTTCTCAATTCTTTTTTAAATTAGGAAAAAGTTTATTACAATTCTAAACTAAGCATATTTTTTTATTTAAAATAATTGATTACTTATTTAATTATATACATACATATATATACACATAAAAATGTACATAAATAAAGAACACGTTTTTTTTTCGTTAATTGAACGCTTAAAGTTGTCGAAAAAATCGAATAGAATCCGCCATTAATCTTATGAATGTAAGATGAAAATTTGTAAAAATATCTCTTAATTCTTTGTAAATTTATTAAATACTATACAAATATTATTATTATTATAATTATGGTGTTATTGTTATTATTACTCGTTGGACACGTATAGTGTTTTTTAACTCAAAAAATTTTTAAAATTCATTCTATATACCCTTTCAAATTCATATTATAAATTTCCAAAAAAAAATCCCTCATAACTTTATTTATTTAATTAAGATTAAACCCTCCGTTCTTTTAAAAAATTAAGATTAGAATCGAATAAAATTTATAATTTTTCGAAATCATACAAAATACAAGTAATACAATCTTTTGACCAATAAAAGAAATTATTATCCTTCATTATCGTTCAGACACAAACGTAATTTCAATCAAGGACACAACTAACCGAATCAATAAATAGCGCCATTATCTACGAATTACAAATTTATGTGAACAATCATGGGCATTTTATTTGTTGACGAATAATAAGATATTTAACAAAATGCATTTATCATATTGAAAACTTTCACGTTCATATTGTATTTTTCGTAACGTCTTGGTAAAATTCAATTATCACAAGCAAGTGTTATTGTTAAGGAACAAAATAAATAATCACTTACTCTATTAGATTTAAAAAATTAAATACCAAGTTTAATTTTTTGATAAAATTAATATGAAATTTTTTGAATAAATTTAATGAAAGTTAATGAAAATGACAAAATCAAATTCAAAAGACCATTTTATCTAATTACATATATGAGTAAAAATCTTTGAAAAGAGAACAAAAAAATATGAAAAACTAGTTACAAACAATGCAATGACAAAATTTGAGCATTCATACTTATGTTCGTACCTATATAAATCTAAAAAATCAACGTGTTACTACATTAATAACATAATCACAAAAATATGTAATTGCATAATGCATTTTTAATGAGTACTTACAACATTTTTTTGCTGTGTCATTATTACTGCAACACCGTTTAAATCATATTGAGGTCTACCGGCTCTACCTATCATTTGTAATATTGCGCTTTCCGAATATTGTATTGCTTGTCCATTAACAAAATATTCTGTTGATTTAATAATAACTAAATGTGCTGGTAAATTGACACCCATAGATAAAGTATTTGTGCTAACTAAAATCAGTAAAATTCCGCTTCGAAAACCATCCTCAATTATGTATCTATCTTCACTTGTTAAACCAGCATGATGATAAGCGATTCCTTTTAAGATTAACGGTTTAAGTTTCACATCCTTAATCCTAAAACAATATTAGGAAGGTATAAATTATTATTCTTACAGGATTTTTTGAATAATGTTAAACAATAAATTGTAAAAATATGACGCTTATTTTTATGTTTTGGATCACTATTTTCGGTAAAAAAGTCAGTTGTGATTTTTTCAAAACTAATACATACATATATATAAATTCTTGAATTAAAAAAAAATAACATTTACAAATTTTTAGTTGTCGACTAAAATTTTTAATGCATACTATGTTAACTAGCGTTTTGAAAGTTTAGGTATATTCAAATTTTTAGATGCACGATTTGCTTCATCTTGCTTTTATTTGGCGTTTACTAAATACTTAATTTGGATTATTTGAGATTATAATTTATAAATTGGTACATACATACATACATATGTTATTTTATACAAACCTTTTAGCTAGATCGCATAACGCAGTTTTGTGATTATCGCTTAGTAGTAAGATACACGATTCCTTCTGTAAAACATTTGATGCCATTTCAACAGATTTGCGACTACTACAAAAAATCTGTAAATCGATTCATTTATAGGTTCCCATAATTTTTGTTTATTATAAAATTACCAAAGTTGGTCTTCCACCAGAAAATTTTCGTATTATTTGAGGTAATTTATAATTCAAACTCATGTCAAATTTAAATGAAGCTAAACTTGTATCATACCCAATGACATGTTTTTGTAATTTTACTGGACGTTTTTCTTCTGAAAATCTGCGAAAACAATTTCTTTTAGAAATTTTCAATTTGAAAACTTTATGGAGAGTTCAATATTTTTAAAATTTCAATAATGGTTAAAGCTTACTGGAAATAACAAATTTTTTCTGGATCTTTTTTTCCGATCCATTCTGCCAAATCTTCAATGTTCGGTATAGTGGCTGAAGCCGCAACGAACCTTAACTTCATCTCAAAATTTTCATAAGATTTCATATTAAATTGAATTGTTTGCATCCGAGAAACAATTGCTTCCAAAATCGGACCACGAACGTCTTCATTTAATAAGTGTACTTCATCAATCATAAATAATTTGACAGACCTAACAATATCCTTATTATCTTTCCATTTCCTAGTTAATGAATCCCATTTTTCTGGTGTTGTTATTATAATTTTAGCTAATGATAAGTCAGAAAAATCATTTATTTCACTGTCTCCCGTGACTTCCAAACATTGTAAACCAAATGGACCGAATTTTTTACACCAATCAATAAACCTTTCACTACAAAGCGCTTTTGTTGGTGCCACATAGACTATTTTGAATTCATTTTTGTCCTTAAAATCTGTGACATCTGATTCTGCCAGCTGTATAAGATTAGTTATGGCTAGTTCAAAAACTACAGTCTTCCCCGATCCTGTTGGCGCGCTTACAATAACAGATTTGTTTGTATAAAAAACATCATCGAAAACATTAGACTGTATTTCATTGAAAGTTTTATATTTGGAAAAAATACTACGGTAACGCAGAGCTAAATATTTTAGTATAAGGAAATTACTGTAAATGTATACATTTATACAATGCCATATATATCTTAATATATAAGACATTACATTTATAAGTACGTACTAAATATTAAAGAAAATATTATTAGTATTTGCTTTACGAAAAACTTATTTGCATGCATACTTATTCTTAAAAGGATACGAATTTCTGTAACTGACTTCATTAGAAAAAAAAAAACTTTTAAAGAAAACCTACTTTTACACTTTTCTAAATTTTAGTTTACCAAATTTTGAAAACACCAGTTATTCCAAAATTCCCGATACACAATAAGTTTAAATTTTAGATATGGTAAATGACAGGGATGGGCCAATTTTTTTATATCAATATATATAATAATCGGAACAATATAAATAAGAGATGCCACATTTCCATACATATTTGAATAACATTGAAATTACTGAAACATTTCTTTTTCTTTTTTATATTTTTAAATGACATGCGATTTGAATTAGTTTCAAAACATTTAAAGTATCAAAACAAATAATGTATAGGCATAAAATGTTTGGTCATCAGGATACATGCAATATTTAGTTTTGCAGTAGCTGGACTAACTTGGAATATGTGTAAATATTCAGAATGAGAATGAATTTCAAAAGAACTAACCTATATAAAATTTGCTCCTTAATAATGCTTATATAAGATGCTTTTGTTCATTACATCAGAGCATATTCTGATCTGTCAAAATATTATTCCGTGTTCGTTTTTTTCCTTAAAACCTCAGAAAAAAACGAGCACCCTCAACCCTCAAGTTGAATTTCCACTCAATGTTCAGACATTTTTTCACAATTTGAAAAGAAAGTGAAAAAAACTTTGTTTAAAAAAGAAAAGAGTACAAAAAGTATTTTTTGGAAAACCTCAAACGTGCACAAGCATTAAAAATTTTAGTATTAAGAGTAACAGGAAAAAAGAATACAAAAGTGAAGCATTTTTCCAACACATGCAAATACAATGAAAAATTTGCTAAATTTCAAAAGTTTAGAATCAAAATGAAAAATAAAATAATGAACTCTTTTGAGATTTAATAATAGTTGTTTTAAGCATTTTCCAGAATCTTGGTGTTTGACTGAATTATATCAATTTTTTCAAAAAAAAAAAAAACATTTTTTACGTTATTATTATATTACTTTATTATTAGTTTTTTCAAATTCTTCCTGCTATATGCAGTAATATGTACCATACTTATAACTTAGTTCTTATCTGATTATAGTACTATTTGATTGCTTTTAGTTGTATGAATGCAAAATTAGCAGTATTATACTTCAAAGATGATATCTACTTTTGTCACTTGTTAAGAATCAAATAAATAATTAAAAAAATTTTTCATAAATTTCGAGATTGAAAGAAAATTAAATTATAAAAAAAGCTAATTAAACTTATTCATCAGAATCTGAACCGCAACCTCCGGTGTTTGAAATTGTGGAATCAAAATAGCAACTATCTCCAGCACTTGTACTTGCACCCTCATTTATTCTTATTGAATTTATATTCGTACTTTCTGCTTCAGGTTCTGTAGCATTTTCAAACTCTTTTTCTTCCAACATTTCAGTTAAAACTTCCACCAAATTTTTGGCTTCGTCTAACATTTTTTTTGATGTTTCTAATTCTTGTTCTAAGCATTCAATGCGCTCGTGTAATTTTCTGTTCTCTTCTAAAGTTTCATTTAATGCTTCTCCTCTTTTTTCAGCTAATAATTCCCAATAAATTTCACCAGGCTTTTCTGACGTTAAATCTTTAGCGGTTACAATTTTTTTTTCAGGTGATAAATTATGAGCTTCTGTTTGGGTATATGATGACTTACTTTCAATCTTTTTTCGCTTTAAAGTTTCTGGATGTGTAACAATATTTTCTATATCAGCACTAAAAAGGTTTTGAAAAATTTATAAATTTATTATTTTAACATAAATAATGAATGCCCTTATTTACTACCTTTTAGATTTCGTAAATGCGAGATTTTTCGCCAATGGATGAAATGGAGAACGAGTAAGATTTTCCTTATCTGCAGCTTTTTGAAGTAACTTTGACGATTTTCTACATTTTGCCAAATTTTGCTGTAATATATTTAAAAGCAATTGTTTTAGTTTTTCATTTAATAATTTTACCTACACTAATGATCGTAGCAGTTTTTAAGGAAATTAGGTATGCACCTGAGAGTTAAGCTGAATCGACGCCAAAGAATCGCTTACCTGCTGTTCAGCATCAGATTCGACTTTAATGTAAACTTTTGTAGCGTTCTTGGACATCTTCTAATATAGTAAAAGCAGAAAATTACAATTAAAATTTACTTTTGATTACAAAATTCGTATTATTAAATTACGCGCCAAAAGTTTTGACTTTCGCACTCAAAATATATATGGAATGGACTAAATTTGACTTATCAGCTGCTATTCAATTATATTTAAGTAAAACAGGGTTGAGAAAAATTTTTGGCCTAGTGACACGTAAACTAATTTGCGAAATGTAGTGGATTTCTTGTAACAGCTGAAGTATGAAACATTCTACTAGCATTAAATCTAGCATTAAATGGTATATACAAATTTTAATTGCATTAATATGACTCGAACTAACTTTCTTACAAATTTGACTTGTTGAATTGGAAATAAACTAAGCCAAATTTTTTAAAATTTGTATTTTGTCCTCGAAAAGTTTCTGTTTAAAATTGAAAGAAAATGCTTTTATTGCATTTTAACATTACTAAGACAATTAACACTTGATAGATACACTTGATTCTAAATCTGAAAGAATGGATTCCAAAATTTATTTTACCCACTCGCTGGTAAGACACATTTTAGCAAATGTTTCATACTTCGTTATTCCAATTTCAATGTCATATTCGAAGCTAACGTAAATTTACTTTCAATGTTTTTATTTTTCTAATACATATTTCCTTGTTTATTGTTGTTAAACTTTTTGGGATTGTAAGATTTCAATGTTTAGATATTCACGAAAGCAAGTTCGTTATAAAGCGATATTATTGTAAAAAAAATCTTTATTAATTAGGATTTCCTACAAAATATACATTAAGTTTGCTTAATGGATGAAAATGAAATTAAACGCTGTGAAAATATTAGGGATGATTCCGTTACTGATACGGATGCAGTACATTACCATTTTCGCCAAACATATCCTGTTGAAATTGTTTTGTGCCTTAGTTGTAAGATTTTTAATAATAATAAAAGGTCATTTATTTAATTGAAAATTTTTTAATATTTATTTCAGGCAATAGAAAATTTGAATCAAGGTCAATGGTTGAAATATTCGAACATTATTACTATATAAAGCATTCAAAAAGGTTAACTTTTATCTTATCTTAATATAAATTAAATGCTTAAATTAAAGTGTATATCTTTACATTTTTAGTTGTGGGGATTGCCTCTATTGTAGTGGAAATGTATTTGAATACAAAATATCAGGTGAGGTAAAAAAATTCCACAACTGCAGCCGTTCAAAAAGAGGTTTAGAGTAACAACAAATAAAATAATTATCACGAGGCTGATAAGTTGAATCTTGCAAATAGATATATATTTTAGACTGAGTTACTATAGTATATTATCTTCCATTGTTAAATTATTTATACATTTATTTAAAGTGATGTTTTTGATATTATGTGTGTATCTTCACATTGGGTGTTTCAGAATCAGGAAATTTCTATAAAACTGGTAATAAAGCTTTATATGCAATCAAATATGTCTATTTTAAATTTCAAGAAAGTATTTATTTCCATTTTTTATCTAAATAATTTTTGCTCACAGGATAAACAGAGCACAACTCTCTCAAATATATATTAGAATTTAATATTTAAATAGTTAGCAATGTAAAAGATGATGAAACATGTTCAACCTTTAAAGATAAAAAAATTTACAAGCTTTTTAAACAAAAAATTTCTTTATCAAAGCTTTGTTTTTATTTTGAATATAACATTCATGTAATACTTAATATGTTTGTGTTCACTTTTTTAAATTTCTTTCATATATTAGTTCAATGGCCAACACCTTTGTAAACATTTGCTTTGAACTTAGAATTATTGGAATTTTTCTTTGGCGGCGTCCACCTTAAATAAGCCGGATCAACAGTTAATTTAGGTTTTTTAAATTGCGGCAATTGTAAATGCTCAATTACTGTTTTTGGTGTTACACATATAACATGTTGTCCTTTCCAATATTTCACCATTTTCATACTCTGTAATGTATATATAATATCATCTTGTGTTATACCACTCAATTCACTTAATTCTTTCACAGATTGTGTCGTAGTTCTACATTCTTTCATTAATTCTAATAAAGTATATGCCCAATAACTTCTATAGCTCAGTCTTCCTAAATCCGATAAAGGCTTCTCTGGACTTCCAACTACACCCTCTCTTCGTGATAACTCATAACTAAAAGCAATCAATAATTTTCCATAACCTTTTCTTTGGTATGGTGGCAATATTAAAATGCATGCAACGTTATTACTTTCTGGTGACTCTTTCTCTTTAGAAAAATAACCAACTATATGTGCACCTTTTTTATCAATTTCGCAAAGAACATAAAAATAAAAAGGTTCAACATCATAATACAACGTTTTATGGTCTAAAAATAATTTTGCCATCAAACATAGCGTTTGACAGTAAATAACATGATCTTTTCCGTCAATTTCAAAAATTGAGATAGTTCCTTTCCTATAAATTTCGTTACCTGGTGGTGTTCTTTGAGTACATTCTGTCGCATGATATCTATATGTTTTCGCAAATTTCATATATTTCAAACAATATTCACACACATATAAAGTTCCTACTTTCCCATACTCATCTGGATACGGAGAAAAATACCACGTATCTATTTCAAATTTTCCAATTCTTAATTTATCTATATATTTAACTTTTGTAATTGCTTCATGTTCTTTTTCCAGAGCAGCTGTAGTTGGATCCATTTCAGCATACGTTTTCTGTACATGGTTAATTTCATCATGTCGTCTCTTTTGATTTCTGGTTAATTTTCTATCTGTTTCCACTGGCAATGGATTTTCTAATGATGCAATTTGTTCTTTGCTTAGTTGTCTTAGAGGTTTAGCACTGTTATTCGAGCTGTTTTCTGAATCACCATTTTCAGCTTCTGTAGCACATGTTATTCTATCTCTAGCTACCCATTCATCTAATCGCCGATTTAAGCCCATATAATGAACATAAAATTCGGATATATTTTCATTTGTTCTTGACTGTATTATTTGAGCAGGATGCAAATTTCCATCTGCACGGCGAATCAAATAAACTCCTCCCGTTATAATTTCTTTATCTTCTTCAGTTTCACTTGCGGCTTCTTGTTTTTGGTTTTGTTGTGTGTTCATAGCTTGTTTTTCATCAGTTTTCTCTGACATTGTGGTGTCCCTTGTAACCATCTTCTTTCTGTTATATTAACAAGTTAATATAACAAAAATTTTAAAATCATAAGATACTTACAAATTTTTCTAACATAAATCATAAATTTAATTTAAAATTGATAGGAAAAAAATGAGGTTCCAATTTCGCAAGCATACGTTTTGTTTTGCTAATCAATTGTAGTTTAAACATTGCCAGCCTATACATATTTTACTGTAAAATTGCGGTGCTGTTTGGTATAATTAATAAAGGAATTAATGTTAACAAGACTGTGTGCGTCAACTTCGAAATAGGTATTGTTATTAAAGTTTGAAAATAAAAATATAAATATCTTTATACTTAATATTTATGTCATTTTTTTTTAAGTTCGTAAGTTTGTTTTTGAAACATTTTACGTAGTACTAAATATTTTCAAATCAAAAATGTATCAACAATTTTTTTACTCAACATTAAAACAAAAATAAATACTTTACTAAAGAAAAAATATATTGCATCTTTATATTTCCTTTTGCAGTGCTAGAGGAAATATAAAATATTGTTTATCTCAACCTTACATTTCGGAAAATAATTTTTTTCACATGTATTTCACTTTTTAATATATTTTTTATAATGTATCTACTATATATAGTAAATTTACATATTCTGGTAACATTTTTAGAAAATTATAAGCGTCATTCTTACTGTCACAATTTTTTGACAAATATAAATTTATGTTTCCAATTTTCCAATATAAATATAACCTTCAGATTTAGCATTCCATTTAAGGTGAGAACAGAATGATCTAGAAATACAATACACTTGACATATTTGTTTTGGTGTTGTGTTCTTAAAGTTTGACGCTAACTTTTTCATTTCAGTTCTTAAGTTTTTAGAAAAATCTAACTAGTAATCCTCTCTTCTCATTATTTTTTTTTTTCATAAAATTGATTGAATTGATAATATCAATTATCTTTTGATATGATTTTTAAAGCAAACTTCAAAACAAGGTCGCTTTGATCATTATTATAATATAATATCAAAATGAAATATATTATACGCTAATATTGATAAACAATTAAACCCTTCTTTTAAGTTTGTAAACGAAACACATACATACATGTACAGAGTAGTCAGCAATAAGTTCGGAGCTAAATACCATCTGATAGACGGTCGAAAATGACTAAAATCTTTGTTTCGAGCATAGTGTCAAATCGAGACCGTTTTCGAGCTACAGGGAGAAGATTTGGAAAAATTTTAACATTCATAAGTTTTTTGTTTGAAATTTCTATTTCCAAAGAGATAGAACCTTTGTCAGACACTCGCCAATTTTGGATTTAATTTAAGATGTCAGACTTTCAGCCAGATTCAGATTTAATTTAAGTTATGATGTGATGTGTAAAAGGCATCTGAGGAATATAATGAATTAATAAGAAATCCAATGAGTTTTCCCAACGATACTCTAAGTGAAACTTCTGTGAATTCAAAATTGCAAAAACACTATTGCAACACAGTTCAGCATTTAAAACTTATATCCTGAACTGTTGACTATTTTAAATTCGAAATTTTGAACTCAGGGCTAATTTTGACAAAAATATTTGTAATTTAATTGCTGTCAAAATGCTGTACAGAATTGCTGCAGTGTTTTCATTCTCAATTTGAAAATAGAACAAGAGAAATTTTCCGAGGCGAAATGTCAAAATTAATGTAAAATATACATATTTAAATGGGACTGTTGCAAATCAAGCAAATTACCGCCGATGGTAAAATAGACTAAACCAATATTTTACCGCTGGCAGTTTTTTTGACATATTCTGTTTGTATGTAAATATGACATTATAAAACATGTTTTTGCCGTTCCGCTGCTGTTGTCGGTTAACAACGGAAATTGCCCGCTGTTGCTCTTTATCGCTTTGTTGATGTTTTTACTATTATTTTTTATTATATAATTTTGTCATTTTTACATTACTTTTCAAGAGCACTGTTTCTTGCTGGTTAACTGTGCATTTGAAATTAGATTTTGGAATAAGAAGAATATAAAATAATAGTGGATAAATTTATAAGATTAAAAAAGAATAGGCAATTGGAATTGATTTGAAAGAAGAGCCTGAAATATGTTATATGTCAGTAAGGTTTTAAAACCCTTGGGTAACACTAACACATTAAATATTAGTTATGGGTTTTGCTCGATCTGATAAAGGTGAAGTGAAAGTTGGATCTGTAAACGCCTGTAGATTTTGTTTGATGGAAAAAATAGAAGACCATTCAATTCTCAACAAACAAAATCCATGGATAATGTTTGACATGTAAACTTTAACTCAAATATTAAACTTTGAAGTAAAAATTTATCACTGCCTCCTTTTTTTGGACTGACGATGTAAAAGAATGCAGTTATGGCATAAACCTGACGTTTGCTTTTTCTGCGATTTGGAGTGACGGCTAATAATTTTCGTGACGATTGTCAGAGTAGGATTTTAATATTCGCCGCAATTTCATCAGGCATACAATGGATCTTTTATGTAGTTACCATAGATTTAGAACAATAGACTGTCAATAAAGCCAGCAGCAGAGTTGGTCCTCCTTTTCTCTCTGATGGGTTTTGCTATCTATCCCTTTTTTATTTAAATAGAGTGGCAGTTTGAAATTGAGTTGCTGAACAGAAAAATATTATAAAATATGAAGGAATTTGAAACTCAACTATTTTCTGTAACGAAAATTTAAATAAAAAGAAACTTTTAATTGCGGATAATAATACATATTTAATTTGTTGCAAAAATACAAAATAATTAATCTTTTTCTTTTTAGTCATAAAAATACGAGAATTTTTTGTGAATTATTTTAGGGCAATCTAAAAATATGGGAAATCCGCTATTTTTCAGTTTCGGGGGAAAATATTTTTTGTTATGCCAATCTATTTTTTATTCTATTATACAAACGTGTTCTTTTTCTTCCCAATAATTTTCTAGTTTCTAGTCGATCGTCAGGCGTTACGCGCCATTTTTTTTTAACATCAATGATAAATTGAATCTACAACTACAGTAGACTTTCTTTTTTATATAATTTTAATTTTTTGAAAATATGACGAGTTAATAATAGTTATAATTTATGAAAACAAAATACTTATAATTTATGAAATTATCAAAAGATCAAAAAAATGTATAGCACAGAGTTATCATATGTATGTATGTACAACAAACTTGAAAAAAAAGCGGTTTCCTTTTAAAAACCAAACGGAGTTTAAGTTAATGTGAGGAGGATGCAAAAGTCTAGAAGTTTCCGTATAAACACCTACAAAAGTATATACATGTTATGCATGTATGCATACTTATGTGAATAAATAATTGGACCTCAAGATGTTACTAGACAACAGGTAACGAATTTGTTTTTATTACCATATTTACAATAAACGAAATACTCCTTGATTACAAATTTCTGCAATTTCGAATGATTATAAATAACTGATTTTCGGATGATTTTCTATATTTTGTAATTGCATATGTACATACATATCTACATCACCATCAATATCAAATAATTGACATCCCCACTTAAGGAACGTAAAGATACACAAAGTAGGGAATTGGATTCATTTAGTCTTTAGTCTTAGAATGAGTTTAATCCTATAATTAAAGTTTATTCCACTTTCGGCTTACGTAGGTATTCCTTTTTTTATTTATATTTTGACCAGAATAACTTATGTAAAACATTTTTTTTATTAAAAAAGTACAAAATTCAAATAAATTATCATGATGCGCACTTAATCTTACTTGAAGATAAGAAAAATGAATATTAAATCTGCAACCACAAAAGAGTTGATGATGCATGAATCGAAATCTTCCGTTAAATTATTTTCTTATACCTTCCTAAAATAAAAATTAAAATCAAAAATTATTTTAAATGGTGTTGTAAAAAGTTGTCGCCACAAAATCTCCCCAATTTATTTTGTTAATATTATTGTATTGAATTTGTTGTAATCCTTTTTGAAGACATTTATATATACATACATATATAATTCAATTGCAAGATAATTTGCCACTTTTTATTTTTATTCAAATATCTTTTATTGTAATATGAACATTGTGGATATCCTCAAAGTTTCTGTAATGTATATTGATCCTTATATAACGGAATACATAATCTTGGTTTAATATTCAATTCACGCGGCTCCAAAGATGTTTACAAAAAAAAAGAAAAGAAAATTGCTTTTAGAATGTTAAGTAAAAAAGAAAAACATAAAATTATAATTCTCAAAGTGGAAATGTAGAAAATGCGATCTCAATGCTTGATGCAGTAATTTTACTCTTTTTAAATAATACAAGAACTTTTCGTGGTTTCAACCATATAAATATATGTAATTGTACGTAGGTATAACATTTTATAGGTATTTACTCGTATATATTTGCAGAGAGGTACCTACTTAGCTATAACTGATTAAAAGCTATTTAGAAGAAAATTAACCACTTTTGTGTGTTGAACTAGGTAAAACATTTAATCATAATAAAATAATTAATGTCAACTTATGAATGTTTTAATAATTTCATTCTCTTAAAAACATTTGGTCTTTTTAAAGAACTGTTGATTGTGCAAACAGTTTTCACTTTAAAGTTCAAGTATTAAAAAATTTGAGTTTATACTACATTTTTATTTTATGTAAACTGCAATACTTTTCATTTTAAATAAGTCCAATTCTGCTAAAATTTTCATTATAGTAATTGTTTTGAAGCACTTGTGAATTTAAATTTTTTTCCATAAAGTTTTTTAACTGATTCGCAGTTTCATTCAACTGATGGCAATAATGGCTTAAGTTGTAATCTAGATTGGTTCATTGTTTCATTTTACTCTTTCGTTTTTTATCCAAAATAATCATTAAAGAGGGTATTTACATCTAATCATGAAAATATCATGAAACAATGTTCAAAATAAAACTGAATTATATTATAATATAGGAATTAAAATTTTAAACCATCAATTGATATTTAAGTTTATTCATGAAAATTTTTTGTGCATGTATATTTTAGAGTGTTGGATAACAGTTAAAATCTTGAAATGACGATTTATTCAGAGGTATGCAGATGTGTAAGCACCTATGTTATTTAAGATGTAAGAAACAAATAAATTGAGATATGTATGCAATTTTTGAATTCTGAAAAAATCTTTAACGTCTAAAAATATTTGCTCTAACCGCATAGCAGAAAAAACTACTCATATAAGAATATGTATATAGG